AGGAACATGCAGTGATAAGCAATTTAATGAAGTGTGGTCATGTGGTTGTGGTTGATGATACCAGTTAATCAATAAAATCATCAGTTAGGTTGGATGAGTTCCAATGCTCAGTGACCTGATGTCTATAAATGTTTGAAATGAGTTTGTAATGGTTGAGCTGAAGTCCCTGTGGTGGACTCAAACTTCTAACCCAAGCATCTGGATTAGCGTCTGAGGACGTTTACTGCTGCTCAACCCACGGGTTCTGAGTCATCAGGACTGATGAACCCACGGCCACTGAGTTGTGACACTGATTCAGAGCAACCGGCCACCAGATGCCTCAGAATAAACCTTTACTGGAGGACATTGCCCAGCTTTCTCTTGCAGAGTGGCTGGTGGGCTTGAACCAACAGCCTTTCAGTTACCAGACTAATGCATGACGCACTCTGCCACCAGAGGACTTTTTCCATAAGCAAAGGAGGAAACAGCTTAAGAGAGGTTGGAACTTTTTATTATGCTTGAGGTGGACTGGAGACGGACAAAAAGATTAGCTGGAATTCCAGGCCCTAGAATTCCAGGAATTGAAAAGGCCAGCAGTGTGGTGGGGAAGGTGCATCAAACAAAAGAATGGAAATCACTAAAGGGAAGTATTGCGTCTTTACGATACATGTTTAACAGCTTCTGGCCTCGCTTTAGACTTGATGGAGAGGAGAGTGTTTTCAATTCAGTAAGAGGACAAGAAACTTCCTATAGATATTTTAGAGTTTACAATTCTAAGTTTTCAGTGTTAAGTAGTGCTGGTGGCACAGTGGTAAAAGTACTTGGTTGCTAATCTTAAAAGTCTACAATTTGTTGAAACAGATGAGGGAAAGAACTGTTTAAAAAAGATATATGCTTAAGTATTATTGTCAGGACAGGAGTCCAGAATGAAGGCTGCACAGTGGAATGGACTTGGGGTGGGGGGCGGATTGCATAACAATGAAAGAGTTGGTTTTTTGTTTGTTTTTAATTTACAAGGAGAAGAGTGAATTGGGGTAGAGGAGGAGCAGGAAGAAAAGTGCAACAGTGAATGAATGGAAACCTTACATCTCTGTAAACTTTCATTAAAATTAATGGAAAAAAATTAAGAAAGACACAAA